GATGAATTTACTCTTCCTTTCCCCTCGGACTCTCTGTGGTCGCATCAGAAATTTTCTCACATTGAGAACGTTTCTCTATGTTGAATCTTGATTGGAAATTGTTCACTAATTTTTGCACATAATCCCTGGTCTGTAGCTTCTTGGTGAGAAGTACATTATGAGTAATCAGAATCTGAAATCTGAATTCTTTTATTGGACACATGGTATTTCTCTGTTCCCTGACTGGGTGAGCGTAACCCTTACTACCAGGGAACTTTCATGATTATGCAGTTTAAGGTTGCTTTATTCTTATTAAACATGTTTATTAGGGTAGTGCCTGAGGACCAACCAAGACTGTCCTGTACAAAAACAGAATAGTTCTGCTCCAAAGAGCATCTAATCCGCATAGACCAGACAGACCTGGGGTGGGGGAAGGGGTATAACACACAAGTATTGCAAACAATGTGATGGTGGCAAATGGCGTGTCCAGTTCCACAACCTCTTTTGGGGTGGGTTTAACTAGGAGGAGATTGTCTAACTGGAAAGAAAAGTGAAGGGAGAGGGGATGCCAGAGGGAAGGCGGGTAAAGAGTGCAGGGGAGAAGAGGGTCAAGTATGGAGAGAGCTAAGGGGAAAAGATTGTGAGGGAGATGGAGGGCGAGGGTTGGAGCAAACAGCCAATCGGTATCGGGCAGAGAGACTTCTCCGAAGGTCCTTGCTTTGGCTGCTTCTGCAGCTGCTCCCACTGGCTAAAATTTCTGGCTGGTTCCACTGTGCAGTTTTCCCCCCAAGGTGTGGGGTAGGAGGGCAACAGCTGGGTCCTCGTTTACCCAGAGCATGGGGCAGCTCTCTGGTACAAGGGGTGCTGGGGACAAGGATTTCTCTGGTTGAGCACCCTTTTACTCTCTCCTTCCAGGGAAGCAGTCCTGCTTTCGCTGCTTCTGCAGCTGCTCTGAATACATGCACCATTCTGTGTTGTTTACAATATTAGTTTAAGATTGGCTGTTTCTACAAATATTCCTGCAAGTAACCTCCTGTGCTAGGATATTTGCAGAAAGTGAACAGAAAGGATGCAAACACAGCTGAAGTGAATCCATTTAAAAATAGGAATGAATATTCACAGAACCACCGTTTGCAATATCCACGTAGCTCTCTTATCTTAGTGGAACCCAGATCTACCTGCAACTCACCTGGTTTTGGACTTTATTACAAATTAAAATCAAGCCACAGACTATATTCAGATCTGGTGTAAGCGGCTGCAGCTCTATTAATTTGGAGTTTCATTGTCTTCAGCAGAGTTGTGTCAGGCCTTAATCTGACCTCAGGTTTGTGAAACTTTCAAGCAAATCTGGGCCCAGTGTTGAATAATAATAATAATAATAATAATGGAGATATCCCATCTCCTAGAACTGGAAGGGACCTTGAAAGGTCATCGAGTCCAGCCCCCTGCCTTCACTAGCAGGACCAAGTACTGATTTTGCCCCAGATTCCCAAGTGGCCCCCTCAAGGATTGAACTCACAAGCCTGGGTTTAGTAGGCTAGTGCTCAAACCACTGAGCTATCCCTCCTCCCATAAATCTAGGGCTGATTTATGGTTTTCCATTCAAAACCATGCTCGGCTTCATGTGTTTCCTGATAAACCCAGGCAACGAATGACAGATTTGGGTAAGGATTTTCCTTTGAATTTTTGGCTTTGTTTATACCCCGAACTGAGGGATAAGTCACATCCCTCTATGGGATAGGGAGGAGAGGAAGGAAGGCCCAGTAGTTACGACACTAGCCTGGAACTTGCTCTTCCACAGACCCCATCGCTTAGTCTCTCTGGGCCTTGTTTCCCACCGGTAAAATGGAGATAATGGCATTGACCTACCACGTGAGGATCTATATGCAAAGATTCCAGGATTGTCAGTTGGTCTGTGGGTCACTCTGAAGCCTAGAATGTTTATTGAATCAGTGTGAAGCAATGGACCCGCTACAAGCATGGCTGAGAGCTCTCTAATGGAAGTCTCAATTTGCCTGCTCCCTATCACCTGTAATACCTGCCAGCCATCGTTCCCTCCCCACCGCCAGGCCTTTCCATGATGCCCTTTCTACATCAGTCCTCGTACCTCTGTTAATCCAGGCATTTATACCATGCGTATTACCACAGTATCTGAGCCCCATTCTGTCAACCATGTTAACATCCATCTCAGCTGGGATATCCGCCTACAACTGAATTACCCCCTCTGTAAAGTATTTCCTCCCGTGCAAACCAATTTTCCCCATCAGCCCTGCTGCTGCTCTGTCAAACCTTGTTATCCTGTTTCCTGACCCTATCACTCCCCTCCATCAAATTCTACTGCATGGATTTCCATATACATGCAACCAAGCCTAAGTGTGCTTCACCCAAAAGGCTTTCCAAAAGTAACGGCGTTAGCTTTGCCCGATCACTCTTTCCCTGCATATTTGTGGGCCCCCTTAAGTACCCTGTTTCTCCCCATCTCTAGAAACCAGCCTGTAATGGATCCCTTGTACATACCCCACATTGCCTGACTGCAGTGTCAGTTTGCTTCTTGAATTACACTCTCAAGGGATGAACTTTGGTCCGCTTGACTTTCCACCCAGTAACCTTTCACCCACTAAGCTGTTTGCACTCTGCTCCGCTGACAGGGAGAGGGAGCAGAGGAGGCTGGGCTAAGATGTAGCATTTTAGATAAAGGCCTTTCTGTTCACCCAAATAAACAGCCCCACTGGATTGTGTGGAAAAGGCTCACTGACACTGAGAACTTGTGTCTAGAGCTGGTAGAATTTCTTCAACAACAAGTTTTGTAGTAAAAAAATGGGGTTTTGTTGCAAACAAGTTTTTTGCACCAAAAAAAAAAAAAAAAAAAAAAAAAAAAAGGTTTTGGCTAAAATATTTGGGATTTTGTCAAACCCCCCAAAACTGGTTTTCAGTTAACAAAAAATCCCCACATTTTTTATGGGGGAGAAATACATATTTTCCTGATCAGCTTGAATGATATATATTCATCACCAACATCATGACACCATCTAAACACCCTCTGTACAGACACTCAGGCTAAGATTTGTGTTTGCATTTGCCACACACCAGAACCCAGAGGTGTTAAGTTGAGTCTTAAATGTACTGTCTCCGGGGTATAAAACGTCAAAATAAACACACTGCACCCCCCTTCCCCACATGCTTCAAATCTGTCAAAACAAATTCAAATCATGCTACTCACAAGGGGGCCCGGGGGTGCTGTGTAGACAACACGGCACCATGCAGAATAGGATTCTGGAGTTTGTATGAGCCAAGGCTCCAGAGAGGGTTGCCAGTTTTGGTTGGATGTATTCCTGGAGATTTAATCACATGACATAATCTTTAATTAAAGATTAATCTTTAATTCCTGGAGACTCCAGGACAATCCTGGAGGCTTGGCAACCCAAGCTCCAGAGCTTGCAGGACCAAACCAATCTGCTACATCTGCTCACCCGCCACGTGCTTTGTTTCAGCGTTCCATTCGGCAACATCCCCCTCCACCACCCAGGCAGGTTGATGGTTCATGTAACATGGGAAACAGAGAGCAGGAGTATGATTAGTTGCTTTAGAGTGACCAGATGTCCCGATTTTATAGGGACAGTCTTGATATTTGGGGCCTTGTCTTATATAGGCGCCTATTACATTTGCTCTGTGGTCACCCTGAGTTCCTTACTGAGAATTCTGCTTTACACACATCCCTCAGCCCATCCAGTGCAGCCGTCAGCTATGGGCAAGGCCCAAAGGCATCTATCACTGTGGAAGATAACAGACCAGCTTTGCAGTCTTTTCTCTGCACTGAAGAGCTCGTAGCTAAACAGGGACATACTGGGCTTCATTTCCTGGTGCGGTGCAGCTGCATTGCTTGTGTAGTTGGGCCCTAAATCCAGCTGAACTACTCCAGGGAAGATTGCCTCTGTCTAAGTGGTGATTCTCTGGTGAGACAGAGCTGCTCTAGGGATTCTTATGCTACTCTCCTGCCAGGCTGCAGGTGCGGCTGGAGGAAAGGAGTGGCTGGGACAGCCCAGTGCCATGCTGATGATTGGTGGCATTTTGTGTAAGTCAGAGTGGCCTTTAGGCTCAGTACAGGGGGAACAGCCCCCAAGGTCAGGGGAAAGCCAGGTGAGTTTTAACCATCAGCCTCTCCGGGTACAAATTCCATCAAAAAGCTGGCATGCCATGAGGCAGGCTTGACTAAGTATAACTTGGGCTACTTGGGTTCTAAACTCTTTGGGGTGGGGATTGTCATGCGTGTGTCTGTCGGTTTGTGTGTGTGTCGGTATAGCCAGAACTATGGGGCCCCGGTCCCTGATTGGGGGTCTCCAGGCCCAACCACCATACAAATAAATAACTGGAAACACTGAGTCCCTTCCTCTCTCCTGACCTCCTGGGATTTACAGTCTCATTTCTGGGCTGAATTCTTGGACGCATCGCCAGAGCAAACCTCTGACACCTTTTGGAGATGGCTGACAACTGCCAGCCTTTACAGAAGCCATCGCATCAACATGCTGCCCAGCTGCTCCGAAATTCAGGCCCAAGATGGGCTCCCAACAACAACAAACACACCCCAAATTAGCAGCTGCTTTTGAAAACTTTGGCCCAAATCTCACAGGTTGTTTATTGAGTGTGCGGAAAGCTGCCATCTCGAGTGTGGCCATTTATCTGAATCTTATGCACCACTTTTCAATCTTGGGTGGTTTGTTTGAGTCTGAATGCAATAGTCTCATGGTGCAATGCTGGAAAACCCTGTTTTTCCCCTTAGTGGTTTGGTGGTGGCCAGCAATCTGAGCAAAGAGATGGTACTTATTCACTTATGTTCTCTTAGTCCCGATGTAATAGAACATATGGGTTTATCTCATGTCCTCCTGCCAGTGAGGTTATAGAAATAGCCCAGAGTGCTGCCAAATCTAGAGATTTTGCAACAGAATTTCGTTCCCACTTGCTACAGAGTCTGCAGGGCCTTGTACATAGTCAGGATCTGATGTTTGCCTCCTTTTTCCTTTCAGTGGAGGATGAAATGCTGCCGATGCGACTCCCGAGAGCCTCATACTCACAACAGTCACCAGGTGGAGAATGTACTTTCCTCCAAAGGACACATGCGCTGGTGGCAGTCCCAGAATGGTAGGTACTGGATTCTCTTCCAAGCTGCTAGGATCCATCCCAGAAGCTGCAGCTGCCTTTCATGGACACCTTATGCAGGGTCAGTTTTGCCCTAGGCGAAACTTCCACCTTGCCCCCCCCCCAGCCCTGCGGCAGATCCCCCCCTCCCCCGCCCTGAGGTACCCTCCCCACAGTAGTCCCCCCCCCTGCTCTGAGCCCCCCCCCACGGCAGCTCCCCGCCCTGGGGAGCCGTGCAGCAGCTCCCCACCCCAGCTCACCTCTGCTCCACCTCCTCCCCGAGCATGCTGCCCCCGCTCTAATTCTCCTTTGCAGCGCCAAACAGCTGATTGGCGAAGTGGAGCGGCGACTGTGTGCTCGGGGAGGGGGCGTAGGAACGCTGTAAAAAAAATTGGGGGCACCGCTTTTTGGCGCCCCCAAATCTTGGTGCCCTAGGCAACCGCCTAGTTTGCCTAAATGGTAGCACCCTGACCTTATGGGTGTGATCACTGATATCCTGGGGAGATATAGCTAGCATTGCTTGCTTTATAAATTACAGGCAGCTTATTAGCATAATTACGAGTCTCCATTACGGATGCCTTAAAAGATTTCAGGGAAGAAACCCTGGCACATGATCTGCTAGGACCATATCTATAGCTCTCTATACAACTGGTAGGAAAGTGGGGTTGGGAAACCCACTTCAAGTCCCTACTCCCTGCATTGGGCTATTGTCTGTTCTGGTGGGTCTCTGTGGCTCTCCACTCCTCTGAAATTCCACCCTGCACCTGAGAAATCTTCCCAACAAAATGTTAATCCAAACTGATACATTTTTACAAAAAGTTTCTGTTTTGACAAATTGGCATCTTCTGATTAAAAAAAAAATAATAATCAGAAAATCCCAGACCAGCTCTCATCACAACAGTGAAACTCCTCACACTCCCCTTTGGTATAAAGAATCCCACGGATTTTTGTGGATTTACACCAGCTGAGGATCGGGCTCCATGAAGGGTCAGCTCTGGTTGTGGGTTTGGATCTGGACCTGAACATGCCCAAAGTGGTGGTTTGGCTCTGGGCTCCAGTAGGAACCCATCACTGATGCAAACAGAACAAGAGCCCTTTAGAAAGCACCAGCTTTTCACCAGAAGGATGCCAGTGGATTTCCGAGAGGCCCCAGTGGCTAATAATGATGGACATGACAGGGTGAGGGTTGTGGAGTCCGCAAACAGGGTTTTGGTTTGGGCAGGTTACAATGACCTGGCTCTGATGGGTGAAGGTTTTGTTTTTCTGAGGTCTGCAGCTCTGAAAACTGCCCTTTTGTGTCTCCTCAGACGTGAACCAAGTCTCCTTGCAGCTGGATCTCGACAAAAAGTTCCAGCTCAGCAGCATCATGCTGGACTTCAGGGTACGTGAGCAGCTTGCGCTTTAGTTAGTGGGTTATAAGCTGTGCTGGGAGAGGCCCGTGGGCCCTTGCAAGCAGAGGAGAATGTAAACCCGCAGCCCCCTCCAGGCTCCAACTGAGACAAACAGGCAAACAAATGTCTCCGCCTGGGCACGAAGGCACCAATATATATTCTGCTCCTTCCAGAGGTTGGTTTATTATTGCTTTAAAAAGTGTGTTTGGAAACGGAGTGTGAAAACACACAGATGTGCACACATGCCTCCCCCCTCCTTCCACTGTATTTGTAAGATTGGTTTCTTGATTCATCCAGAAATAATTGGCTGTTTTCTAGAGGTGACTCAGTGATCTGCAGCCTGGGCATCCCTGTTGGTCCCTGACCAGGTCAGCCAACCAGCCAGGAGGGAGGCCATGAGCACAGGGAGAGGGGTTGAGTTGGAGCAGGCTTCAGGGGAGGCTATGTCTAGTGGCAGAGGATCGAGAGGGAGCTGGCCCACGTGGCGAAGGCTTTGTAGAAGGAAGTAGGGCTGAGAGGGGGTGAGTTCTGTTGTGGGGAGGGAAGGGGAGATGCATGGAGAATTGGGGACGCCTCATGTGGGAGAGGGGACTGAGGAATTAAAAATGGGCTTCTTGCTCTGTGTGTGCTCAGCACTTCTGCGATCTCATCCCCACCCCCCCTCCTCCAGGCACCTCTGCCTGTAGGGATGCTGATCGAGCGCTCCATCGACTTTGGCGAGACCTGGACCATCTATCAGTACCTGGCCTCTGACTGCGCCGCCGCGTTTCCACGGATCCCCCTAGGCTCCCCCCAGAGCTGGCAGGACGTGCGCTGTCAGGAACTGCGGACCCACCAGGGGCACCCTCTGCACGGGGGGAAGGTACGATGTCTGTGATACTCGTTGCCTTAGGTCCACATGGAGGGCCAGGTTAGCAACCTGACAGGACCCAGAAGGCCATAAAATAGAGCAGACTGCAGCCACGCTCATCCTGAATATGCAGGAGCTTCCCATGAAAACTAGTGCTCCCAGCATGTGATGCTCTGTCTTGGTCCAAGCAACAAGCCTTTGGGAGCACCGCTTACTGGGAAGTGTAGATTCTCTGGGCTGCACCTTCATATTCAACATAAGTACAGCATGGACTGATTATGGAAACCTCTGGTTGCTTATGGCCCATGGACTGGAGTTGGCCACCCTGCCATTTCATAGATTCACAGGTCAGAAAGGGCCAACATGATCAGCTCGTCAGAGCGCCAGAATAGCACCGGCCATGGGATTTCGCCCAGTAATTCCTGCAGTGGAGGGAGTTGTTCTTCCCCATTGGGTTAAGTGGAAAGCCGGGAGATCTGAAAAGGAGAGGAGAAGCTAGGGAGGGACACAATGCCCACTGCAGGCTGTTGAACGAAGTGCAGCTCTGTGATTAACGAACCAAAGAGCTCACCTCCACTCTCTATATCTTCTTCAGACGTTAATAAAACACGGGAATGTTGTTGCCCTATTTACATGCTCTGGGGGTCTAGCCAAGTGGTTGTTCAACTTTCTTATTGTGCAGACACAGAGCAAACTCAGAGCTGTGTGACCATCTACTGTTCCAACACCTAGCTTCCCCATTTTTACCTTCTCAACTCCCCAGTAGCCCTCTCTCCTTCCCAGTAGCATTCTCTGCCCATAGTCTATAGTTTGACCCTGGCATCACCCAGATGCAGCGAGAAGAGAACCTTCTGCTGATGTTCTGCAGGGTGGTGAGACTGGCTAGGGAGTGCCCTGCGGGAAGATTCATGCGCCCCAAGCATAAAGGCACCTACTGACTTGTGGGCAGCTGGGCATTTTGGTGGAATTGTTGTTGATTCCTCAGCGACGTTAACCTGCCCTTCAGCATGGTCCTCAGGAACTGCTACTCTTCAGAAGAGTATCAGAGGGGTAGCCATGTTAGTCTGGATCTGTAAAAAGCGACAAAGAGTCCTATGGCACCTTATAGACTAACAGAAGTATTGGAGCGTCTGATGAAGTGAGTATTCACCCATGAAAGTTTATGCTCCAATACGTCTGTTAGTCTATAAGGTGCCACAGGACTCTGTGTCGCTTTCTCCAGAAGAGGGAGCTCCAGAGCAGGCATTTCATTGTTTAGATGGTTGGGAGGTGAAAAGAAAGACCCATATTTTTTTTCCCTGTAACTATCTTACATGTTGCTTCTGTGTTCTTCTCCTCAGGTCAAATTCAACCCCCTTGACCTGGCATCCGGCATCGCCGCATCTCGCAGCCAAAGCATCAGTAGTATGCACAGTTCCTCATTTATACCTGGGGGAGGGGGGTTTCCCAGGGTTGCTTGCGCAAAAGGAGAAGATTGTAGGCACTAAGCACCAGGTGGAGGATGCTGGTCCCTGGAGATGAGTCAGTCTTTGTAAAGCTGTGCATGACGTGGCGCTGCGAGGTGCTTTGTTTCCGAAGCAGCTTTTAATGCTAGTAGTAGGTGCTGTGCGGGCACCTCTATACAATGAACCCACAGAGCAGGGACAGCCCACACAGCAGCGATCTCACTTTCCCTCCCTCCCCCGCAATGTCCCACAGATATGCTGCAGACCGGCCATAGAGAGAGACGTACATCCCATGGGTAGGAGAATACTTCAGTCTTCTCTGCTCCTTGATCTCTGTCCTGATGGTGCCAACAAAGGGGCCCAGCTAATGCCAGTTGTGCCATGACTGGTTCTCTCTGCCTCATTCGCTTCCCTGCCGGCCTGTGACTTCAGCGCTACTTCCTCCTCATTTGTCCTCTTCTCCCATACAGACCTGGGAGAGTTCACCAACCTGAGAGTTAACTTCACCCAGCTACCTCGCCTCCCGCAGCAGGGCTACCGCTCACCCAGCGCCTTCTATGCTGTAACCGAAATGCAAGTTCAGGGAAGCTGCTTCTGCCATGGACACGCAGACCGCTGTACTTCCTCCAGGGCCCCGCCCACAGACCCCAGTGCCATGATGCAGGTGAGAGCACAAGGGAAAACCAGGAGACAAGTGCTTTGCTGTGTCAGTTCTCAGTACCATCCCCGAGTTCTAGTTTTAACACCAGGCTCCTGCCCCAGTCCTGGCCTCCACTGGGACTAGGAACTGTCAGTGTTGCTTCAGCAGCACGATCAGCCCTTAGGAGGGAGGGAGCGCTGCACATTGCTTAACGCAGGCCCCATGCTAATTGAGGGACAGTGCTGATCCATGTTGCCTGAGCTAGGAGGATGGGGGGAATGCTACAGGATCCAAGGAAAACAGAGCTCTTTTGCTTGCTCCGTGCAAAGCACACTGTGTGTAATGTTTTAATGCACAAAGAGGAAGGCGGAAATGTCTACGAAGTGGTGCTTGTTGATTGCACGGATTCTTACTCGGGGCAAATCTATGCTACAAAATTAAGTGGACCTAAGTTACGTTGACTTACAGCCACCACAGTAATTAAACTGCTTTTGCATGTCCACACTACGCTCCTTGCATCGGCGATGCGTGTCCTCACCAGGAGCGCTCGCACCGATTTACTGGCATTGTGGGGCATTGTGGGATGGCTTCTGAAAGGCAAGTTGATGTAAACAATGCAGTATCTACACTGACACTGCATTGACCTAACTACGTCAACCTAAGTGCTCCGCCTCTCGCGGAGGTGGAGATAAGTCGAGGTAGTGGGCGAGTTACATCAGCGGGAGCAACATTTTAGTATAGACACTTACAGAATGAGGTTGACGTAAGCTGCCTTACATCGACCTACCTCTGTAATGTAGACCAGGGCTCAGGCTGCACATCACAGCGGTGAAGTGAGGGTGTAACTGCAACTTTTGCCACTGCAAGCCTTCACTTTCCCTGGCTCCAGGAGACCCAAAAGCTCCTAGCTGACTCTATTTCATACCTAAATGACATTCACCAATACAGTCTTCTGCCTGCTGGCATATGTACTAGTCCCCTGCCATTAGATACCTGGCGTAGTTGCTGGGAATTCATGTTAACAGCATCAGGCCCTATCTACACGTATTTCCTAGAGGCAGCTTGTCCCCATGCTGCTCTGGTCCTCACAGACTGACAGGAAAAAGAGGTGAGTCTAACTGGGGAATGAGCAGTGGGACCAGAAGGAGTAGCTACTGCTAGAGGTGTGTGTCACAGTGTGTGTGTGTGTGTGTCACTGTGTATGTCACAGTGAGCTAACAGATTGGCAGCAAATAGGGTGTGAAGTTTTGTCTCTGTTCCAGGTTCACGGACACTGTGTGTGTCAGCACAACACTGCCGGCCCACACTGCGATCGCTGCGCAGCTTTCTACAATGACCAGCCTTGGAGACCTGCAGAAGACCGCAACCCCAATGAATGCCGGAGTATGTCTGTCCACCGTCCAGCCATTCTTTTCCTCTCTTACCCTCGCCAAACCCATCAGACCAGTTGAAATCTGTCTGATGTAACTCTGGGGCTGTGGCTGGGCAATGAATTTAATTCCCTTTATATTTTATTAAAAAGAAGAACAGGAGTACTTGTGGCACCTTAAAGACTAACAAATTTATTAGAGCATAAGCTTTCGTGGACTACAGCCCACTTCTTCGGATGCATATAGAATGGAACATATATTGAGGAGATATATATACACACATACAGAGAGCATAAACATGTGGGAGTTGTC